GAAATAGCTTCAAAGTTACACGATGTTGGAAAACAAATCAACAGGAATGCTGTCGCCCATAGACATCTACATTTATCTTCGATTAAGAATCAAAACGCAGATGCGTTGTCACCCCTGAGGACTAATATGGAATGCCTCGTTTCCAGTAAAAAAGTGCCTCCGGATCTGTACACTCACCATACGAAACATTAGCAGTACTATTCTGCTATTCTACGCTGGTATTCTGTGAGAGCGTGGTCCTACCCCAGTTAAGCCGACCCAATCATGCTGCAATCATAATATAGCTGCAGCGTGGCTCTACCACGTTATTTATATGGTATAAATTAATAGTCTAAATTAATGTTTAAAGAAAGTCCCACTGGGTTACTCACTGGTTATTTTCAGGACAGAGGTTTGTTCCGAACCAATTGTTCAGCTTTAATGCCTTTCCGTAAGTATACTTTTAATCTGTATTGAATAAAATTATTCTCTTGTAATCTATTCTTTTCCACGCAGTGTGTAATTATACTGGTGCTCTATACCTTATAGAACAAAAACCAGTAGTACAAGCTCTGTTAATTGGCGGGAGAAATAGATATCAGGTTAATCACCTATTATGTAACTATTATTTAATATTACGCAATCAAATTGTTACCATACCAACGAAAATATATTCCATTCCATTCCATTCCGTATTCATACTCCAATCGGCTTTACATAAACAGTAGTTTCATTTCTCCACCTTAAAACCACTCGGAGTCTGTTAATAGTGGACCGTTCTTCTCCACTATTACAGTGGTGACCCCGACGTGATTTGAACACGCAACCTTCTGATCGACATCGGGGCGTCAGTCACCTCAGTCCCCCGTGACCATGGGTGCTGGAAAGCACCCGAAACGTCGGCAATTAAAAATAAAAATAATTAAAAGTAAAATTAAACGCGATAGAATCCGTAAAAGTAGTTTTAATCAATGTTTAGTGTTCACGTAAATATAAGAAATCATTATGATTAAGAATTTTATTTAACTTCAGCATAGATGCGTAAATATAGTGTCGGTTTGCATTTAAGGAAAGTAAAATATGCCAGACGGCAATGTTATGTTGTCTTGTAATTATTAAAAAGAAAAGGATTTTATTTATAGGCGAGGATGCGGACGAGCATGCGGTTCACCTGATGGTGCCTACTGCAGCCCATGAGCAACTGCAGCACCAGGGGACTTACAGGTGCTTGCTGTCCTTTTAAATACAAAACAACACCAAAAAGAGATGAATTATGCTAGCTAACAGCAGGGCAGCCTATCCGCAACTTAACCTTCTTTACTTGTGTAAAGGAATTGCCACGACGGACCGAATCACGACTCCAATTAAGACTCCGTACTGTATACCGTTCGAATAAGTCGGGACTTAGAGTTTTACGCTCACTTCTTAGTATTTACTTATATTTTCTACCCTTATTTCTAACACGAGAATCTTTTCCAATTTTATAATTGAAGTATACTTTGCTATTACACAAAAATCGAGAATACTTTCCAAGACTGTATACAAAAATTATATCTAAATTCTGAATAACTTTTTTTATTATTTGTAGGATAGACCGTGTAAGTAATATTTATTACATACACCGTAAGTAAAGTAAAGCACACCCGCTGCCTCAGAGGCAGCCATCTATTTTAATTTTAATTTCTGTATTGCTTGTTGCATTAGGCAACAGCAAGGTACACACCCTAGCGTAGCAACGCGCTAGGTGTATCGGTAGGTGTTTACTTAAGCAAACACCTCTGTACCAAACTCCCCCTCCTGAAAGGTGAATAATATTAGTGAATATTCTTACACCGCTACTGCACGGTTAATACTGTCACAAGCATTCAACGAATTATCAGCAGTTCCATGGTGTAATGAGAGGTCAAGAACATAACGCCATGATTGCCGTCGTCTATGGATCTCGGGACTCAGGCACCACGCATTTTTTCTCAGTTATTATCAATATCTTGAAAAAAAAATTAATAATATCTTTATAGAGAAACTAATTCCTATCTCGAATCTCGGTTTTAATAAAATAAAGCCATAAATATGGCTATTTACTAATTCTTAGAAAATGTTATATGCCACGTTAACAAAAATTTCCCATTTTGCTATTTACTGCAATATGTCACAGACATTTAATTATATAGACCATGATATACCAATTAATAAACTTGACTTTTAGGTTTAATTCGTTCCCACATAAATAATCGACAACAAATAACAAAAATAACTAGAGTAAATCTTGAAACCAAAAATGAAGAAACATACACGTCCATGATGGCTATGTATCATATGGCACGGCAATGTACTGGTAAAGTAAAGTAAAGTAAAGTTACAGCCTATATACGTCCCACTGCTGGGCACAGGCCTCCCCTCATTTCTGAGGGGGTTTTAGGGCAAGGAAGTGTCCGCCGCGCTGCCCCAATGCGTGTTGGCGAACTTCACATGTCTTCGAAAATATTTTATTTCTTATTCCTCGGACATGCAGGTTTCCTCACGATGTTTTCCTTCACCGCCGAGCACGTGGTAAATCAGCACTTAAAATTGCAATTAACAATTTCATTGGTGCCGGCGGGGCTCGAACCCGGGTTACTCGCGTTCTGTTATATTTACAGCGAGCGTTAACCATCTGAGCTACCACGGCTCAATGTACTGGAACCACTCTTATTTATTATATGTATATACTAACGACTTGCCAAATGCAACATATTATTTGCTGATGACACATTACAATTGCATATAAGGATATTAATCATTATTATTTTTAACATCTAAAATGCACTGTAATTTATAATTTCATGGCTAAACAATAATAAATATGTAGTACGCAAAGCTCCATTAATATATAACAAAGTTACAAATGACGTTAAGCAATTGAGAACAGACCTATTTAAGAAAACATTTTTTATAAGTATATATGAAAACAGCTTTTATAATGTTAATGACTTCGTTAATAACAAATTTCTCTGAATGTAACATCTATTTTCGATATGAAATATTATTGACATTTATTATAATTAAATTATTTAGTGTCATGTCAAATTAATTAGTAAATATATTATCTTGTTGTAATAACTTATCAATTATCTGTTATACCTATTCTTCTTTTTATTTTTTATATTTGTACACCACTGACCTCTATATATACATTGTAAACCAACTATGTTGATCCAAAATTACAACTTTCAAACCAATAATATACATCAAATGTCTTATGTACTAATTTTTTTGCAAATAAATATATCCTTGCCTTAGTCTTAACCTGCATGCGTGAGAAGATTGGCAATAGATTTTAAAGAGCGTAATCTTGACGTCGCTGCGCCGTGAAAACTTACGAATGAAAATATTTCCACGGACAGTGATCTTCGCTCCCTCTCAATGTCCATATCATCTTTATAATTTCAGTAATGTAGTGGCCTAGATATTTAAACTATTTCACTCTACCTAGGGCAGTATCATTGAGCACTGTGGGAGGCATATCCTTGAGACACTTTTTCCAGTTCTAAACACCATAAATTCGATTTTCTTAGCATTGTTTACTAAACCATGTCTAACAGTATAATCTCCACAAACACGTAACATGTTTCTAAGAGCACTGAGAGATAGGGCGAGCAGCACCGTATCATCTGCATAACTTAGATTGTTTAAGTATACTCCATCTACGTAGCATTTGCTCAACTCACCGATCAAAACATCTACGTACAGGCTCAACAGGTTAGCTTAAACCCCCTTGCCCGCCTCACTACATATTCTAGCAAGTATGGATCAGAAAACTCATTTGCCCATTTGACATTATTTGTTTGATTGTTGTACCAATACTCAAACATCGCTATCAGTACAACAGGCATCTCGATTTCCATTAACTTAATTCATAATATTTCATTAGACAACATATCAAAGTATAAGTATTCTCTTCATCCTCTTAAAAATATCCATATGTTTGAAGTTTATTGGAATTTAATTTTATAAACAGAGAAATATTTTTTATTTAGGTGATTAAGAAATATAAAGCAGAAATCGTTCTCAACTCCTGAGGGCAAAGTTACAATAAATAGGCAGAAAGATCTACAGAATGCTAGCGTGAAATAGCAGCTTAATATTGCAGTGTTTTTATGGTAAACGTTGAGAAACGAAGACCCCTTTTACTGGTAATGAGGCATTTTATCTTAGTCCTCGTAGTCGACAACGCATCTACGTTTTGATTCTACATCGAAGATAGATGTATATTGAGAATAGGTTGTTATCAGCCACAGCACCACCCTTATTCTATCAAAGTGAAAACAAAATATAGTAAATAAAATACCGTCAAAAAAGGCCGAATCAAAAGAACTAAGACGAGGCAATCTGTGCATATTATATCGTTACAATAATCGAACGTGAGTCGCTTGCTGTGTTTAATCGAGTTAATCTGTTCGTAATTGACAGGCAGAGCAGGCAGTTCACTTATATTTACACTGATAATATTAATTGAGTGTTCTGTTTATTAGTGTTCGTAAACGCAACTGCTGACCATGCTATACAGGGTTTGAATCCCAGGTGGGACCTAAAAATTAGTTATTGAGTGTTTCCAAGAAGCAATTATAAGTAGTAGACCGGAATCAGGAAGTTGGTGGTAATTGAGACATTGACTTGGAAAGTACGTAAGCGTCCGACGACTGATCTCTTTCCGGTAGTACCGGATTACTGTCCCGTTAGAATATGACAGTGAGATTATAGAGAGTGCACCTGTGCCTGCACATACACTCGGGCACTATAATCCCCTCCTGCGCTATAGTAGGTGTCGTTGAGATGGACCACCGTGACCGAAATTCGGTCTGAATGATATTATCATATCATCATAAATATAGGTACATTAGTGTTGCTGGCAACAAAAGCTTTTTTTTTATTGGCCAAATACACCAATTTATAAAAACGGCATTTTAAATAATGTACTTAATGCTATCTATTGCTTGTTACAGTAATCTAACAGCTACTATGAGCAAACATTGAGCGGCGAGATGGACGATCCAGAGCGAATCGAGCGAGATGGAGCCGCGTGCGCGCTGCGTAATAATCAAACGAAGCCGCCTGAAGGTGACACATAAACTATATACCATAAAATCAGTTTTTGAAGGAATTATAAACAATTATAAACAATATTTTCTAGGCTTCGAATCTAAAGGGTTAACGAAAGCTTATTTATGTCACTCTGATGCTCTATCTATCTGCTCTATCTATCTATTCGTCTATCCGTCAATCCTTTTACTCCTATATCTGTCTTTCCATTTTTCCTTCTCCGTCCGAATGTCACTGATCTCCAGCTTGTTTATTTTTTACAGAATAAGCATAATAAGCAAGAACACAAGTCATCTGATGGTAAGTGGATGCAGTAGTCCATAGAAAATTATATTTATCCTCGATAAAATTCAAAATGCAGACACGCTGTCACCCCTGAAGACTAAGATAGAATGCCTCGTTTTCAGTAAAAAGGGTCGCTAAGCTGCTATTTTATTTAAGCTGGTATTCTATGACAACATTTACCTTCCCTAGTCGAGTCAACCTATTCGTTCTAGAACTATAATATAATAACTGAAGCATGGATTTACCACGTATAAAAGTTAGACTTAAAAAAAAACACAAAAAAAAATCACTTGAAAACTTTAATAAACATAACTTTAATATACTCCTTAAATTTTGAGTTTCATGCCAAAAGAGTAAAACGGAACCCTATTTATGTCACTCAACTGTATATCTGTCTATCCGTCTGTCCATCTGTTTGCCAATATATCATGGTTCTATATATTAGCTCGACTCTTTCGACAAGAACCTTCTTATAAGTATATAGAAAAGATTTTAAAAACAAAGCTTTCAATAAGCATTATTTATAATCTCCAAAAGTATTACTAAACATTAAATTTACTAAAAATTACTAAAAATAAAAATATTTGGACGGGGCATGAGCCGAAGTTTCTTTCATTATTTTGAGTGGCTATCAGGAAGATGCTTGAGGTCACCTGGTTCAGTTGCCATCTCTCGACTGTCACAGCCACGTGATGCCAACTCACGTAGTGGATTATACAATGCACGTGAGCTATGTGTGCGTTGGAGAATCCACTACGTGAATGCCTATACGCATTTCTGTTCTCTTTGCTATTCTATAAATATTAAATCAGAACCGACATTCATACACCTTATAGAAATCCACTGTTGAAAATAGTCTTTAAGTTCTCCTATAGATTACCTCATAGGAGATTTTACCATAGTTACCACATTTCGCAGGTGGGTTAGAAATCGCAGTATTTTTGAGTGTTGTCATAAAGATACTGCCGCCCATATCCTGTTTCAGTGTTCCTCCGTTGCCCCTTACGCCACCGACCAGCTTAGAAAGGATAGGGTTTACCGTACTCGTCATGCCTAATATCACCTACGACATCTATTATCTAACAGCCCCAACACATTTTTTATAGCATTTTGGTACAATACTTTGTCAGTAAACAAGGTGATTTGTTTCAGGTTTATACTGCGAGGGTACCTTCGACAAGTGGCTGTGCTGGCCACACACGCCAGCAAACTCCACAGTCTACGAGCACTGCCCCGAATTTGTCCATGGCTTCAGCCCTGAACGTACGTAATTTGCAACAAGCTTAAAGTTTAAAAAAGTATTTTAAAACCCGACTGTGTAAAAAAGATTACTGAAAAGAGAAATATAGCTTATTCTACTTTTACAATTAAGAAGAATCTAACGATACACCTTAAGTTAAAATCCATGAAGCCGTTTATGCTACGAAGCGTGCCAAAGAATTAAACATAAATACAGACATACTTAAGCACGCCGCTTGAGAAGCTTGGCGTGCTCAGTAGAGTGAAAAAGTATTTCATGCCGGTATACTACCTGCAAATTTCTAAGGCGCAGGTTCAGCTGCATATGGAATGCTGTTCTCATCTCAGGGCTTAGGCTCCCCAGTGCCAGCTCCTTCCATTTGATCACATCCAGCGCAGAGTATGAGGCTTGACTCACTGGCACTGCGAACAGATGTTGCATCTTTTTGCGTATTTTATCGCATTTACCACGGGGAGAGCTCTGAGGAATTGTTCGGAATAATTCCAGCCACACAATTTAACTGGCGGCATATTATTTGACTGGCGGTCCACCAATGTGCGATTTAAAAGAAGTTTTCTTCCTCGCACAACTTTCTTGTGTAATCGACCACCGCCAGAGATTTTTCTGGACCGATTTAACTCAGGGACCTTCATGAAAAGAGCCTACTCCTTTTAAAAACTAAAAATATAAACTGCGGTTGCCAACCCGCGCCTAGCTTGGCAATTATGGCAAATATCCCCAATATAAGGCAATCTATGTAGAGACCTATGTTCTGCGGTGGATTTTCATTCGCTGCTAACAGACTGTAACGGTAACTTAGTTAACGAATTTTAACCTAAAGCCATCATCAAAAGTGAGGTGGCAGGGAAAGAGAAACCTTCATTCAATATAACCCCGTGGGTGCTATCTTACGGCAGAGCGTTAACGCCAGAAAGTTCAGATAGCATTCAATATGGCAATATGACCATCTTCCTTATACCTGTAATAAGATACTCAGCCTGACGAATGAGAAGTCAAAGGTTCCACCGAACGCAGATGCCGCATATGCAAAAGTAGACTTTTTCTAGCTAATGTATAATTATAATGTTACTTATAACGACGATATTAAAAGAAAGAAAGCGAAGTTGAGGTCTTGATCATGAATCTCAGAAATAATACTGCTACTGGCTGGGACTCTATATCAAACAAGTTCCTTAAGATGATAAAACACATCGTAGTCCGATTCTTTACCATCATCGTTAAATTGTATTTTGAACAAGGTATTTTTCCCATGGTTTTTAAAAGAGCTCTCATTACACCTGTCCACAAGAGTGGAACACGAGACAGTGTAAAAATAATAGACCAATATCTGTGCTACCAACACTATCTAAAGTGTTAGAAAAAATCCTAAATAACCAACTATTAAAATTCTTAGAAGAAAATAATGTTGTTTCAGACTCCCAATTTGGTTTCAGAGCGAGAAAAAGTACAGATGGAGCTGTCAGTTTTCTGGTAGAGTATTAAGGCTAAAACATAATCTACTGACCATAAATGTATCCAAAACCTCATACGTACAGTTTATTAACTCTCGAATAAAACAACAGAACGCGGATATTCGTATTCACATATGCAAATTTTTTTACAAACCATCAATGTACATCTCAACCAATAAGTAAAATACCTACAATGAAGTGTTTTGGAGTACTATTGGATGAGAAACTAACTTGGAAACCACATATAGACATGATTGCGTCACGAGTCAGGAAATTGACTTGGGTGTTCAATAATCTTAGGCATATTGCTGACCTAGAACTTCTTCGCTCTGTACTCGTATATTATGCACTAGTTCAATCTGTTATTAGCTACTGCATCGGAGTATGGGGAGACGCATGTAAAACACACATCATAGGGAAACACACCCACATCACTTCACGAATAACAAACTAAAATAAGAAACTGGCTAATAACATTAGACTATGAGGATACTGAAAAAATACTGATATAGGTGAAGCATTTATGTAACACACATATTCCGAATAACATGACACACACACGCGCACACGCCCCACACACACACACACACACACACACACACACACACACACACACACACACACACACACACACACACACACACACACTCTTTGGAAAATTGAAAGTTGTTTTGATATAAATTCATTAGACTAAGAAACATGGGAGAAGGTGCTGAATCCTGACATACAGGTCCTTACCTAGTTTAGGATTCAGAGGCTTCATAAGATATTTGTAACTCATTTTATGTCAATAAAGATTATTATATTTTTATTAAAGCTCTGGGCTTAACTTTAAATTACGCAAGTATCTAGTGGTTCCCGGTGTCGACTGATTTGGCATCCTGTTAGCAAGTGATCATACGCACCCACATATCTGTCACAAACTGACACTGAAATTTATCTTACAAAATACATAATATTAAAACCGTTGTTGTTAGTTTGTTGTTAGTGACAAATTTACATAGCGTGGTGTTGAATTGGAATGACACTGGAAATAAATTAGAATTATACCTGAAAAGAAATGGTAAGACGCTATTTGAAAGACTCTTTTTCATCAAAATACTTATTCAAACTTTAGTAAGCTTTGGAGAACATAATTATATTATACATATATTTTTTTATATTCTTACTTATACGTGGGGATTGTCCCACAAATGCCTCACAAAATGATATATTAGCTAATCTAAATGTCGAAGCATCCGTTGTTTTACAATGTCTTAAAGTGGGATGATGTCGACCATTAGTTCAAATGTACCTAGCGTGAAGACATTAAAATATACTGTTACTTGAGTTAATATCATCTACAGATTCTGTGTTCTTGTCTACAGTAATGGCGCACAAGGAGTGCACTGAGGACGGCACGTGGTACAAGCACCCGCTTACTGGTTTACCTTGGTCAAACTACACAACTTGTGTGAAGCCGGAAGATGTAAGTAAATCTAGTTCAGTTTAACCCTCAAAAGAGACAAGTTTGCGCTTTAACCGCTAAAAAGAACCCTTTTATCGTATCTCCTCAGTTTCAAGGCACTCCCCTTGTTGCCTCAGCCAGTATCGGAAGCCTCGGCGTCAACATATCGAGTGACGTGCAGTTTCGTGGTCACTCGGAAGACAAGGCCAAAATTGGCGTCTAAAAAGCTCGGCGTGCTCAGCATAGCGGGACAGTATTTCATGCCGGCACACCGCCTGCAACTTTACAAAGGTTCGGCCGCACATGGAATACTGTTCCCATCAAAGGGCCGGTAACGCACCTGCAATTCCCCTGGTGTTACGTTTGTTCATGGGCGGCGGTAGTCATTTAACATCAGGTGAAACGTGTGCTCGTTGCCCCTTTTCTAAAAAAAGTAAACAATGACATATCCTACACTTTTTGTTCTAAATTTAATAACTTTCTCAATGATTTTCAGGATGTCAGTGAAATAATCACCGTGTACGAGATGGGCTACAGCATATCGCTAGTCGCACTACTTGTGTCCCTTGGTATACTTTTCTACTTCAAGTGAGTTTTATAAGTTTCGAAATCGTTAAAAAAATTCAATAGTACCTTCGGGAGTACAATCATTTTTTCATTTTCAGAAGTCTACGGTGCGCCCGAATCACAGTGCACATGAATCTCTTCGCATCGTTCGCTGCGAATAACGCGTTTTGGTTAGCATGGTATGGCCTCGTAATGCGCTCCCCCTCAACTTTGAGCGACTCACCGGTATGGTGTCGCCTCCTCAATACTCTACTTCAGTATGTACTGCTTACTAACTATACGTGGATGCTGTGTGAAGGGCTGTACCTTCATACGGTGCTAGTCAGTGCATTCGTATCGGAACGTCGTTTGGTACGTGCGTTGCTGGTGGCAGGATGGGTGCTACCTGTACCACCTGCTATCATTTATGCCGCTCGCCGTGCCGCGGCTGGTGAGCAGTTGTGTTGGTTGGATGATGGTCCTCCCAGGCTGGAACTTGCCGTGCTTGTATGCATCGCTGTAGTTCTCAACCTTGGCTTTCTATGCAACATTGTCCGCGTTCTTTGTACGAAACTCCGCGCAGGTGGCGCGGCTGGTGGTGCTGCGCGTCCATCCGCTACCGCACTCCACGCGTTACGCGCGACCTGTCTTTTAGCACCCTTACTTGGGTTGCAGTACTTATTGACGCCTTTTCGCCCGGACCGTACGGCTAGCTGGTGGCTCGTCTACGAGTATATATCAGCGATCACAATCTCACTGCAGGGCTTATGCGTTGCAGTGCTCTACTGCTTTTGCAACGGTGAAGTGTTGGCCCAACTCCGGCGCCGTTGGCGGGTACTAACGTTCCGGCCTCGCGCCAACTCCACAACTAACACCACGGTGTCTGTAAGTAGACTGTTGGAGCGTTGAATGTTTTGCGTAGTGTGCTATATAATATGACAGATGCATGTGTTCCAGTTTGTGCGGTCGGCTGCTCCGGGGGCGGGGGAGGATAAAGTGTGACTAGCGGCGGGCGGCGGAGGTGCGGGTGACGCGGGGGACAATGGAAACATTGTGGACGGAGACAAGAACGAGCGGCGACGTAGCGATGGTCGCCACATACGCTTCGATTGCGTGGACAGTGACGAAGACGCGCCTCCGCATACTCGTCTGCTCTAAGTTCCTCCTCCATCATTTTGAATGTGCCGCGCCCGCCGCCCCTTTATTAACCGAATGTGTTTTAAGTGAACAATAATTTGTCGGCTTAAAGAGACAATTGCGGTCTACAATTAACTAATAGTTACGATTGATGATCAATTGAACCGGGTTCGTTACTTTAAAATAGTTCTGTTACCGTTATGTACGATAATGAGATGAACTATGTATGATTGTTGATTAGTATCTTTAAGAGAAATGCATATTATATAACCATATAATTATAAAGCTTGTGTTGTTAACGAGAAAATGCAAAGACCGAATGAGTCATCGAAATAAATAATTGTAATTTAAAATGGCAATCATTTTAAGCTACGTTTTTTTTTGTATCTTAGCTCATTGTAAATAAATTTTAAAATCGATTGCAAAACTTGTACCGAACAAATAGAAAAGAGAGACATAAAAACGTAAGAAAAAAAGCGCCTTTAACTGATTCCTCTTCGTTTTCTTGTATTTTTGTAACCGTGAAATTGATTTTTGTACTATTTTATGAAATCTGACGACTGTAAATATTTGTATATAGTTTTGTAAACTGCAAATACAAAAATTTTACGTGGTGTTATTTGGCTTTTATTCCCCGTACGGTTTGTTTTGTTAGTTTGGTGATTATAAGAAATTCTAAAAGTTAGTACATATATTTCGGCAGCTTTTCTTAACTATAGCCAGTGCTTGAAAATTGTTCCACCTGATGGTAAGAAGTGATGTAGCCGAAGATGATAAACCATAATGACTCAGCTTAACAAAATACTTTTCACTTATGCCTAGATATATTGATTCTCCTAACGTTGTAATTGAATGGAAAGATAGATAACTTGATATGTAAAATACAAGACTGGTGTCCAAGAACAGCGTTGAATATGTAAGACGTTTTGTACTGCGATCCCCAATCAATCTCTCAAACGTAGTGATCATGGGAAATCCTCCACAGAATAGTAGCATATATGTAGGCTACTGTTATGTTTACCTATTTATAATTACTTATTACTCAAATTGACCATAAAAAATCTCGTTCATTCCTCAAAATCTTAAAACTAAAGTACCTGGTTATACGTCGCAGAGCTGCAGTTACAGCTGCAGCATATAGGTCGGCTCAAACGGTGGGACCATGCTCTCACAGAGCAGCAGAATGATGCTTTATAAGGAGATCTATTTGCCATAGTTTCCTGGCCTGACAGTCGGGTTAACAACCGCAGTTATTACCGTCTGGTTGTTATTAGAAAGGCACTACTACCCAACTCTTGGTTCTTCTGTTTCGTCTCTTACCACACACCCAATGGCCAAGTCACGTACACGATAATTCGGGACTCGCAACTCGTTAATTAGGTACTTTGTACAAGGCTAAGTATGACATCAGTTCCTTTTTATCCCCATAATATGTTCCAATAATTGTGTTTTTCTTAATCGTTCAAATCAAATCTTTGACTACGTACGCCTCGATCCTGTGATCCTGTTGACTTAGATTCTGAAAAGCATTTTTACAATACTGATTTTATGGTTCCAAATAAATAACTTTTGAACGTATTAAACAATGAAATTGATACATATATATATATATATATTTAATTAAATTTAAATAAATGAAAACGAAATAAAATTCTTTACTTTTCGACATAAGTAAAATTTTTTGTTTGTGTTTTAAAATCTACTACTACAGTATTAACAACTACCTAGTATGTACTTTTTAATTAATTGTTACCGTACCTGAAGTTAAATGGCTATAGTCAGTGATGAGTTCGTGTGGCTAGTAGCCACACGCTTCTATAATGTATTCTAGAGACCGAATATCGATTATGGCGGCGACTCGGAACAGATACGAGCCATCTGCCTGGACGGGAATATAGCGTTCAGTCGTATGCGTAAGTACATATACTCTCTCTATTGCTCCTCTCATAGTTCGATAGGCTTTACGTGCTGTCTACGGCACGGGGGTGATAAACTCCTAATTCCGGGCTGCTCCTAATAGCTACTAGACAGAAAACCCCAATAACTGATTTCTACCCGATCTAGAGTTTGAACCCGGGACCTCATGATCAGCAACCGCGTTAATGACCATTAGACTAACTAGGCAGTCATACGTAAAAACATCACTGCTATCATCTTTACGACGGGATAGGTCCAAGCCTCGGATTTATTATAATCTTCACTTGGTCTGGTTTCGATGATGTTGGTGTTCGTAGGACACATTTATACTTGGTCCTCGTCCCAAAGTCACCTCATACCACGTAAAGAAATGGGTGATACATTATTTCGCGCTGTAGTATCCCTCTACTTTACACATTGTTCTTCCTAGGACTGAGTTTTTTTCCTAAACAGTTGTATTAGTAAAAAATTGCTTTAAATAACAATTAATTGTAGTTTATATTGAAAAAAAAAATGTATTTTATTTATTGCTTAGAATTTTAAAGCAAGGAAGAGTCCACCACGCTTTTCAGTTGAAGGAATTTCTTGAATTTTTAACCTGATATATCCACCTTCATCTATTTAATCATTGTAGCATGAATGGACCGACTCAACCAGAGAAGAACTACGCTTTCACAGGATGCCGACGTAAAATAGTAGCTTAATGCGGCTGTGTTTCATATAGTTAGTTCAGTTAATTGGAGAACTTTTTTACTGGTTGCGAGGAATTGTATGGTTATGGAATGAGTTAGTTCGACGAGAGAAGTACCAATATCTCACAGAAACCAGCGCAAAATAGCAATGCTGTGTTGTGTATGGTAAGAGTAGAGGCCCAGAGATCCTTTTTACTAGTAGCGAGGCATTATATCTTAGTCCTCAGGGGTTTCTGGTTTCGGTCTTTATTCAACGCATGTTGTTTTGTGATTGAAGATGCTGATGCTCATCGGTCACCGTCAGTTTACAAAACTATGCAGCTTTCTCACAAGTTCTCAAAACCACAATTAACAGTTTCACTTGTACTGGCAGATCAAACACAGTCTATTTTAAAAAATTTGAGGTGATAAACGAACCTAAAGTCCACGAGGTTGTAAGTGGCAATTAAGGTTCTATGTTTGAAGTTGGTTGCAATTAACTTCAAACATATAAGGCTAGTAGATGGTTGCCACTCTTGAGGACTAAGATAAAATGTCTCAGCCTGTAAATATTCTGGCACTTTGTACCATTTATACTGGAACACAATCGTGCAAGCACTTCTCTTTGGCGGCTGAAATAAGCAAAAATGATGTACTGCTGAAGGTAACCTAACTAAGTTAAGGAAGGTAAACCTACTTTTGGGTTATTATAATATCAAGGAATACATGAACGAAAATAACCCCTGGGAATGAGGTGATCGCCACCATGCTGGATCTATTAAAATTCATTTAAAATATTGCACAAAATTATTTTAAAACGTTCTGCCAAATCAGAGGTATTTTCCGAAGCAGTGGTAAATAGTAAATAAAAAAATATAAACAATTTCATTGGTGCCGGCGGGGATCGAACTCGGGTTACTCGCGTTCTGTTATATTTACAGCGAGCGTTAACCATCTGAGCTACCACGCCTTTTGTTTGAAAGGTGACTTGATCGAGAGTGTTCTTAGCTATGACTCAAGAAAATCTGTTCAGTTTTTTGAAGATCATTACTTTTTTGCTAGCTAATAATATGAGAGCAACTTTCACTTTTTTTGGTATGGTAACCTCAACGTGATGCTGAAGCATCACTTAGAATCCGCAGGATATCAAGTTGTCACGAACTTACAGCAGAGGTATCGTGATTTAACTTATTGGGATTTAAATGTTAGTAATCAGGTTTTATGATGATACAGGAAAGAGAAATGAGTATAAATTGGTGATGGATTCCGAGCTACTTTCTCTCGATATGAAATTTTCGTACACGACGTGTGCCGAATTGAATGCCGGGTATGAATGTGTTTAATGAAAGTGTTTTAAGTTTAAGCTATAAGTTGTAGCGCTGAGGACTGTGGTTTCGAATCACACATAGAAAAAGTATTTGTAAGGCCTACAAATAATGAATGATTGTAAATGATAGAGGAGAACATCCTAGCTAGAGAATCAGAGACTCTTTTAACTGGACACAAGGCATTTCAGCTTAGTCCTCAGTGATGACAATGTATCTTCATTTTTATTCTTAATCAGGGATGTCTATGGGCCACAGCATCCACTTACCATCTGGTGGACTGAGTGCTATCAGTAATAGATCCCTTTGTTCATGGCTATATTACCTACTGTTATTTTATATGGGTATAATAAGCAATCTGCCTCAACTTTGCATGTGTGATTTCTGGATATTGATAACAGTGCCATCTACCGGTTTAAACTATAGCCATGAGCTATCGATGTGACTCCAAAAGTACCCCATAAAAATTTCATCAAAATCGGTCAAACCCTATAATAAAGATTTGTTTCGACATAAATAAAGAATAACAGCTATGAGGTAATTTTGTCCACGAACTACTAATTAAATCTTTCCGTCAAATACTTCGAAATATTTGAATAATAAACACAAAATAAAAATAAAAACTACATAAGGAAAATACACAGACATATTAAGCCTTCCGCTAAACCGGTTGATTCATACTCGAGACGTTTTTATATTAATGATAATTTAAACCGAGAGAGATGACTTGACTGTTTCGAGATATTGATAAATTTATATATAAGTAATAAAGAAAAATCATTAAAAAAACTAAAATAAAAACAACCTTCTTTTTAACTACCTACCAGACAGACTTCTTGGTAAAACGAGTCCTACTACGTGGTATTTGTGTATTAATGAGTAAGACAATATTATATATGTACCTTATATATAACCGTTACAGTTACCGTTACCGTTACAGCCTATCAAAGTC